GTTTTGTTTGGGGGGGGGGGGGACTTGTCCATGTCATCTCCGGGGACAAAGCTCTCGCCGGAGATTGAATAATCATAACATTTAATAAAAATCTCAAGTTTAAACCTTCTGAATACAGTTTTTTTTTGGCTGTGATTCTTCTCCAGTCTCCTGTTTTGTTGGGTAACAATTTCGAACAACGGAATATTTATTACAAATGTGATGCCAAAGCGACAAAGTAGATTTGAGAATTTGGTGTCTAAATATTTGAAGCAATACATGTAAAGATGATACACTTCCATTCAATGGGAAGACTCGCAAGCCACAGCTATACATTATGTTCTGTTCTGTCTGGTTGCTGTATTTCTTGAAGATGAAGGAACATTCGCAGAGATGCTACTCTTCTTTGGAGGAGGAGATCTAAAAGAGGTAGCTTTCGACGTTGAAGGGACATTTGCAGGTAATATACTTCTCTTTGGAGCACTGATACTGCACAGGACGGCAACCGAGAGAATGGATCAATTGGTTTGAAGGCGAGGTCCTGAAAATATATAATCGAACACGAGTACAATTACCTGAAACTCTTCTGGACCGCCTTTCTCTTCATTGCTGCGAGATTTTTCATTTCTTGACTGTTTCCACAAACACATTTTAGAAAGAAAACCAAGTCAGCACTCGGTAACTGATATATATCTTGAATCGTATGTGTCGGTTGAAGGAGATACGGTATCAAAGATAATCCCTTTCACACTGTTTGATTGTGCGAGACGAGGTGAGAATTCATTACCTCTTTAAAAGATCCAATTTCGCCTTCTTCATGATGTTACTCTTCACACCGGAAAGATTGTGACCAGGTCCACCTGCGAATACATCATTTCCAGTAAACCGTTTGCTAGAAAGCCAGAGATTTGAAGCCATCCTCAAATTCCGTAGCAAGATTGGCCAGAGAATACTAAAAGAACCTAATATGGTACGAAAAGAAATGTTACCCCAAAAGCCTCTTTTGTTGCCGGGAGGAACTTTTGCGCAAAGCTTAGTTTTTCGATTTTGTTTCTCTGAAAAGAATTTAAACCCATTTACATGTCGAATGCAGGATGAATAACAGCTGGCTAAAGGCAATCATATAACGACTATTGGATTAAATCGACACTAAAAAAACTCAGTTCCACCAGGATTGATAGCTTTGATGCCTGAGCACTTTACCCATGAAGGAATATTAAGCACACAGCACTGACGAATGCAGATAGAAATACGTGGTTATCAGTATGAAGTATGAACAAAACTAGGCCTATATGTCATAACGAAAAGTGAAACTGTAAAGATCATACTTGCAACTTCCTTCTCGTAAAGTTGTTTGAGCCGGTCAGCAGCTCGCTCCTCATCTTGTTCGACATCTTTCAACTTGGCCTACAACCAATCATGAGCTTATAAATTCATCGAAAATTTCTCACTTGGAAATGTAACTACAGAGGGACCCAGAAGACAAAAGCACCTCGTATAAATGTCTCCACTTGAAAGTTACTCTGTTCCGCTTCATCCTCTCAATGACAACATTCATTTTCTGATAACCAAACTGCTTCTCATAGAACCTTTTCCACAATTTATTAGTGATTGGACTAAGATCGGTGTCCTGGAAAGATACATTAACGCACAACTTGACATTCCTTCGAAGAAACGGGTAACTAATATCGAGGGTTTTGGGGGGTGAAGAAGGTATCTTACTGCAGTACAATCCTCCACATGCATTAACTGTTCTACAGTGCAATGCTGTAAAATTTGGTCGAGGAGTTGAAAATCTAACCCACCAACGTATCCGATGAACCGCACATTGTCAATTGCAGTCATAATGCAAAGCTCCACGAGGGAAGGAGGTTTCCTACACTGCTCCTCTACAGACATCGGAAACCTACATACAAATGCTTCAATATGAACTCTCACAAAACATGGTTTATGGCTAATACAAGGTAAGATTATGCACAAATATAAAGCAAAGCTGGAATTTTGCTCAACAGTTGTTTGATCAGAAACGGACCCTAGTGTCAAATTATCAACTTATCATCAATCATCAAAGTAAATCCAGAGAATCCATCGTTTCCAAAACAGATCGGCATGGACCCAACTAGAGCAATCGAAATCCGATATGAACGAACACGACTGATTGATCAAACAAAATCTAGCACTCAATCGTTTCAATTCCTCAATTCTATTCGCAACGGAGACAACCGATTCCTCATCGGACACAGCATATCAAAGAGAGCCAAGCAAAAGAGGATCCGGAAATCGAAGAAACTTTACCGCTGGGGCTAAGGGGATTCGAACCGATGATTGATTGATTGATCGGAGAAGGCGAAAGAACGACGGTCGGAGACAGCTTTTCTCCTCCCGGAAGAGAAAAGACGCCGGCGTTTTTTTTTTTCGTTAGTCGTCTACCGGTGATGACGATGTGAAGTCAGGGATTTTGTGGGCGGAGGATTTTTTCGTGTGGTCTCAGCGGCTGACGCAATTATGCAAACATGACTGTTTTAAAAAAAAAAAAAATCCCCCATTTATCATTATTTTGTGATCGTTTAATTTTCTATGCAAATAAAATATTATGGAATATTATTCTGCTTTTTAGTTGATTTTTTTTTCAGGAAATTGAGCGTAATTATGTATAAATTAAAAAAACTTCTGATGCTGTATTTTTTTTGTGTGTATATTAACAAGTTTGTTGGAAATTAATGCAGGATTTCGTTTCTGGATTCCGGTTAGCAGGATTTAGCTTTTGGTATGGTTCTCTCTCTCCGGTTATGTCACTTGTGGCCTCCGTTCTTACACTGGCTTGAGATGGGCCTAATCATAGCCCAATATTAACTACCCATATCCGGCCCACTTCAGCATTATTTAATGAATAATAATATTTAATGAACCCAATTACACCCTGTTTCACGAATAATCGCACAACCCAAAATCGCACCTCCGGTTCTGCTCCTCCTTCGCCACCGTCCTCCGCCGGAAAACCGCCGCGCAATCCGGCAGGTCGCCGAGATCACTGAACAACGACTCCTCCTCCACCTCCTCCATCGCCACGTCAGCACCTCCGGAGATCGCCACGTCGTAGAACCACCCGAACTCGTCGGGCTCGCAGTAGCACCCGCCGAGCAGCGTCGGCACGTCCACGTGGCTCAGATCCAATCCCGGCGTCGCATCGGCTTCGGCGGTGTCCACGTCAGCATCCTTCCTGGCGACGGTGTGGTTGCGGTGGTGGTGAGGCTTGGTAGCGGCGGAGGGGAGGGGGTGGTTGTGGTCGGAGGCGTAGGTTATGACGATCTTTGTGGGGTCCACACGGCTTCTCTCCACCTGCTTCCTCGCCGGACACCCCTTCGAGCTGCTGCACCTGTAATATCCCCTGCTTTTTTTCACACCCCAAATTTTAATTATTATTATTATTTTAAAAATTTGTTATAATCTTTTTCAAATATAAAATAAAAATAATTGTATTATTCTGAAACATTGGCACGTTAATCTCGTATTTATTTGTTACATAAAACAATGAACTTTAAATAATTCATTTGCATAAAACAGTAAAATTTTCCATATATATTATTATTGTATATATTGTGTGTATATATATATATATATGATGCTGACGCGTTAGGCGTATTTTAGAGTTCCCCACCACTACATACATTGGGGCGGAGGTTAGTATATCCTCCGCCTCAGCGCAATGCTAACGTACGCTTATTTAGGCGATCCATTAATACAGCCTTTAATCCGTCATTAAGGCAAACATTGAATCCTTTGATTTTTGGTGGGAAGGAAGAAAGGGTAAAAGAGTAAATTTACCTGGGGTACGGAGAGCCTTTGATCGGCTTCTGACCGTACTTCCTCCAAGCCCACGAATCCGACGGTGGATATGCTTCGCCTCTGCTCTTAGATCCTTCCACGTCAGCAACCGGAACTGACACAACTCTCTTCTTCATGTTCCTCCTGCTTCGACAACACATTCCTTTCAGACACAATGAAAAAAAAAAAAAAAAAAAAAAAAAAACAAGATTCAGATTCCGAAGAACCTTTTCTTTGAAGAAGTTTTACGGATCTTGGAATCTTCGCAGGAAGAGGGAGAATCCGGTGTGACGCCGTCGTAGGTATCATCGTCTTCCTCGTCCGATCGCTGAGCTCTACGGTGCATCTCGACCGTCGATTTCGCCTGACCGGAGAATGACTGAAGAAGAGACGGAAGGGTTTTTAAATTTTGATCCATTTGATTATTCCTCCTCTCTTGTAGGTTTATTAATCAATCCGAGGACGTGCAGGCAAATATCGTGGACTATATATTATAATATTATGGTATGGTCGTTTTATTTTATACATAAAATATGACCAGTTGTTTGTTTTTATTTGTTGTTTTCTTGGAAGGTTCATTTTATTTTTGTATATTATTGGACTGTATTTGAGCTCTGTTTTCTTGTTAATCTTAGTTCATTGGGTTTCCTAATTAACCAAACCTTTGAATTAGCCCATGCATATGTGTATGTATTATATTTCAGCATATCTATATGCACATGTATGATGCATTGCTCTCCTTTTTTTGCATTATTAAGATGTTACGTCTTGGTCCATTATAATATAATATGATATCTCTAAAGGTTTTAAAATCTTTGCAGACTAATGTTATAACAATGATGATGATCATCGAGATTGCCCTAATGTTCGATAATTTTATAATCATAAATATATAAGAGCCCATAAATGCCCGCGTCTTGATTAATTAATTGTTATTAAATGCTCTATCATTGTCTCCCACTTCTGTAAGTTAGAATAAATCCAGACAATTTATTTTCTTTGTTAGAGAAGTTTTGAAGAACACTAATGTGACTGGTCCGGCAATATTCTATGTAATGCAAACTATGCATAATTTCATATGTTTTGGCGGTCCATGTTATCCACAATATTAACATCCGAGTTAGCTAATGAATTTATTATAATTCGATGAAATTGATAATGAAACTATTTAAATCGTGTAACAAGGTAACTATTAAATGACGCCGTCTCCAAAATTTCATCTAAAAATCATCGTCGAAAAAATTAAATTAAATCCAATAATACATAGTTATATATGAATCGAATTTCATCTAAAAATCACAACTTTTTTAAATTAAATTCATCAAAATAAGCAGAAAAGTGGAACTTGCATATCCAAAATTTTGACTCCTAATCCAATTCGGGACATTATCAAAAATACTTTCCATATACTATTTTAACTTCAACTTATATCTTTCTCCAATTTTAACCATGTGACCAGAATTAGGTATGGTCATATTGTGATCACATTATTCATAACATCAAATTACTGATCACACTGCTTCACCATGTTTAATCTTTACATATCAAACTAATCATTTGATAAAACTATTATAAATTTAATGTTATAACCAATGTGACCAAACTATAATTTTGGACACATGGCCACAATTGAAGAAGGATATGGGTTGAGGTTAAAATAGTATATGGAATAGTTTGGTGACATGACGAAGAAGGATATGAGTTGAAGTTAAAATAGTATATGGAAGATATATTTTTATATAATGTCAATTTAAAGGCTTGTCTACATTCTATTTTATAAGTATCACCGTGAAGGAAATCCCGTGTATACACAAGCAAACTCGTGTATGATAGGGCATATATGTATATACAAATCTGTACATGTATTTACACACGTGGACAACGAGAGAGACAATGACATATATGGAAAATATATAGAGGAGCCCGTTGTGTTGCACCTACCAAATATCGTAATTGCATTCTTTAATATAAAATATAATTTAAACCCATAAAATATTTCAAATGAACCGCATATATGATTATTGAACATTGAATACTCCTTTCTGATTTTTTTTTTGTTGGTTGGGGTATAAAAATTAAAGTTGGAGTGGTGTCGGTCACTTTAGGTAGAGACAGACATGTCTTACCGCATGTCATATACATATAATAACTAATTTCTGTAATCACCATTATATTATTATTTATATTTCCACTCTTTTAGGCCATTAGTATTTAGGCGTCACGAGCGTTTAAAAACATGCAAAGGGTATATAAGTCACTTGTTAGCATTCGGTGGTAGAATTTGAAATAATTTTTATTCGAAAAATACTATATATGAAGAGAGGCTCTGGGCTAATCACATGTATTTATTTGGATTTCATTAATACAAATAATCCACTTAAAGCACGGTATCCATTAAATTTTAGTGGCGCTGTTGGTAGTGTGCATAGATGGGGTCCACATGATAATTATTGGAAAACTGAGGGTATTAATGTAATTACGCTACGCCACTAATCACAAATTTATATACCCTTTGTTCCCATTGTCTTGCCTCACCTCAAACAAAAACAAAAAAAATGGCCGCTGAGGAAATCATGGAGCTGTTCGACCAAAACTGGTTCTTCTCCAAACACAAAGAGCCTACGGGTCTCCCGCTGGAAAGATCAAATCAAGAATCTGAGGGAATCCATGGAAGTAAAGATCCAGAAAAGCCTCAAGAATCCAAGATTCCGCTTGATGAAGCTTTTTTTACGCCGGGAAATGTTCTTGTCGGGAGGTCTATGAGTGATCAGAACTTGATGAGCTCGAAGACAAGCTTGTTCGGTTCCTCGGATGATCTGTTCTCGCCGACTTCGGTCCTCAACGTCAAACATCAGGCGGGGAAGCTTCAGACGATCCTCTCCGGCAAGGAAGTGACCGAGTTCTTGCCCGACGACGGCAGTCCGAAGCCAGAGAAAGCGTCTGATGGTACAGAGGAGACGAAGGACACGGAGCAGAAGAAGAAGAAGAAACATGAAGCGGGGAGAGCAAGGAGGAGAAAGAGCTTGTCGGATTTGGAGTACCAAGAGCTGAAAGGGTTTATGGATCTGGGTTTCGTTTTCTCCGAGGAAGACCACAAGGATTCTGATCTGGTCTCGATTCTTCCAGGACTGCAACGAATCGGGAGGAACAACGGAGAAGACGACGAAACAGATGAAAACAAGGAGAAGAGAAGCGGAAACAGAGGAGGAAGACCGTATTTGTCGGAGGCGTGGAAATTTCGGGGAGAAAGAACGGAGAAGAAACCTCCGCCGCCGGCGATGAGGTGGAAATTTCCGGCGCCGGCAAACGAAGTCGACATGAAAGATCATCTCAGACTATGGGCTCATAACGTCGCATCCTCCGTTAGATAACGAAATTTTCATCGACCATAAACCTCAAAATACATGTATGATCCCTTAAATCTTATCCAGTTTTGATCAGCTTGGTGCATACACTGCATGAAAAATGTACGAGTGTTTTCTGATGAGTTCGCAGGGAATAAGATACACGTGTATCTGTCTATACGATATGTATACGCATGTGTATTGGTTATAGCATATTAAGATAGAAAAAAAAACAAGCACGTGAAACGTAAGCGTGTGGTTAACACGTCAATTTTAGGTGAGAGAAGTGTTAACGAGACCGGAACAAAAGGGTCGTGGTCGGAATATATAATGGCACCTGCGTGGTGGGCGGGCGATGTCCCAATGGGGATTTTCATCTCCCGATTCTGCCAAAAGCTTATCTAAATACTCGTGACTCTCGTTTGACATTTTTTTTAAAAATAATAAAATGCAACAAACAGTGAGTAATCATGAGATCGATGAAAAAGGGGAAAAGGGGGAAGGATAATAAAGAAAAAGATTACTTTCCTTGGAGCTGAAGCGTGCATGCCATTTGGTAAAGATAGTGAACTCCAGCAAGCTCCACGTCATCGTAAGAGTGAAACATATTCTCACACGCTACAAGAGAGTAAGCAACGCATATCATGCAAATGATGAACTACCATTGATGAAATGAAACATTCTGGATAAGCCAAAGGGTATTGGTGAGCCGCCGCCGCCGCCGCCGCCGCCTGTCCCATAGCAATGGATCGCACCACACGAATACAAATTGTACACATCAAACTTCTCTACGGCCATCTCATCTTTCATATATGAAAAGAGCAGTTCAAGTTTCCAGGACGTGACACACTGCAGATATAAGATTATTTATACTAACAATGTTCCGAAGACGAGTTTGATCCATCCCCAGAACGCATTCCAACAGTTTTCTTAAACCAGAAATAATGACTCCTTCCCACACCCACGCCATTAAACCAGCACCATAGATTTCCTCTACAGCTTATGGATTGCTGTTCACTTCTTTCCACGCAGTTTCGCCCCAAGTGCCCTCTCCAGCTTCGAAAGTATCTGCTGATTCGGAATCGCTTTCCCAGATTCATACTCTTGGATCACCTGTGGCTTCTCATTGATTATCTACCAAAAACAAAAACAAAACAATCGTGATACGATTAAAAAAAACGATCCCAGCTACATACAACAACACCAACAGATAATAACAAAAGATAGGCAGGGACTGATGAAACTACTTGAGCAAGTTGAGCCTGTGTCAGTTTCTTTTCCGTGCGGGCTTGCATGATGGCCTTCTTTAGCTCAGTAGGAACACGGTCATCTGGTTTCATAGCCACACATCAAGGTGTCAGAGATCACTGCACATACTAATTGTACACAATATCCGATCTTACAGGCCCAAAAAATCCCATCTAGCCACAGCCAATGCATTATGAATGGATTCAAACACAATGAAATGCAGAAAAGAAAACGCATGAAACTTCCGCTCTTCTCATTCCAATCCATCTATCATTGATTCATTTCAGAGTTCCGGCGAGCACATATAAGAACTGAGGCAGAAACACAAAGCTTGCTCTAAGATTGCAACTCATAAGTAAAGTTAGACTCTAAATATGATCTGCGGAAAGGCCCCAAATATATGGACTACACTCTACAGCCATCATAAACATTCATATGACAACATGAGACTACCATTTCATTGCCAACACACAAACCAGATCATTACCCTTAAAGCAAAAGATCAGATATACTCACGAGTAAGGTTCTCGGTATCATCATCTAGCTTCTTTGTGTTCAGAGATGTGCTGCTTGATGCCGCCTTGTTTGTCCCACCATTGACTAAACCCAGATAACAAAGACAGCGAAAAAAAGTAGAAAAACCCATTAGCAGGATCTTATAACCAGAATCCATATACAACAACAACGATGATGACGACAACGCCTTCGATGCCTTGGTCCTAAGTTTATTTGAGGTCGGCCAAAACATAATCCATATGCAACAATAAAATTCACAAAAATCAAATCGCTCCTAAAAGCATAATACCGTACAGGAGACAAAAAAATCCACACAATACGATCACAAAATCAATCGATTACAAGTACCAAATGCTTTGACAGATTACTAAAACGCGGATAACCCAAAATCTAAAAGCAAGTCCCTACTGAAAGCTCAATCGTAGGGCAATACCGCACATAAATAAAAACCTAATCGCAGAAAACTAAAGATGGAAACCCTGTATCCAGCTATAATCCTCCAATCTACGAAAAGTTCCAATAAACCCTAAATCACACGCGAGTTCAAGATTAGATCCGTTAACGAAGGCGCATCAGACATAACAAGAGGCAAAGAGGAAGAAGAAGAAGAACGAACATTTTCTGACGGTCTCGATCTCGGCGCCGGTTCGGCGAGCGGCGTTGACGGCCTTCTCGTCGCGCTTGGCGGCGGAGTTGGGAGCCTTCTTGCGGATCACCACCGGCTCCCAATCCTGAGTCATCGGTCCAACTCCTGCCATGGTTTCGTCTTCCGAATTTCTCCTATTCGCCTTCCTCGAAATCTAGGGTTTCCTCTGTGCGCCTCTTTATCCAATGGATAAAAAATAAACAGGAAATGGGAGAAAAGAGAGACGGAATAATTATATAAATAGTACGACTAAGCCCCGCGTGAGCTTCACGCTAATGTTTTTTTGTTCTTTTTTCTTTTTCGCTTTCATTCAACGCATATCATTTTCCATTCGGATCGAATTTAGCATAAAATAATTATTAAATTATATAGTTTTTGGAGTTTATCACCGTCTAAGAAAAATCACAAATTATTGTAACATCTTATCTTCAGATTTTCTCTAATAAAGTTTTAAAAAAAGTTGACAAAACAAAACCTTTTTTAAAATACTTATTTGTGGTTTCGTGGTCATCTAATCTTACAGATTAATCTTCACATTCTTCAGCAACATCTGTTTCTTTGATCATTGATTGGACCTTGCAACTTTTTCTACAATCAGCATTTATTGTGCCAACACATACATCAATTTAATAGATTATATTTTAAATATCTATCAATGTTAATCTTTTGATATTTCCATATCACTATGATCTTTCACTATCTCTATTTCTTTAATTTTAAGATCTCTCTCTTTTTTTGTATATATAAACATGTACTTTGTTTTACATCAAATTTCAATAATAATTTTTTTTTACCACTTTTATCAAATCTTACCGCGGTTTCTTCTGCTGCGTAGCTGCATCTCTCTGCATTCAGACGTTCTTGGCGAAGTCGGTAGGTTCCTCTGTTGAGACGTGTCTTCAAACCGGTTATTGGTTGTGTGGTCTTAAATCGGTTTCCTCTCTTATTCGAACCGGGTTCTTGTTCTTTTGATGGTCTCAAACCGGTTTATTGACGAACGCTGCTAACCGAACCGGTTTTGCTTGGTTCTCGATTAGGACATTGGTTATCTTTCTTCATACGATGAGTGAAGGATTTGTTTTTACTTCAATTTATCCTAAAAATGGAAAGGGTCTTTGGATTTTGTTTTGGATCTCATCACGCTTCAGAGTTCAGATCAATCAAATTAATGTCGGACACGGGACACCTTTCTCTGTCTACACGGAGGGGTAGTTTCGTAATTTAGGTAGGCCCCGCTAGCCAAGAAATATCTACCAACCGAGATGCTCACGTGTCAAATTCCTCCTCCTCTTTAATTTTTTTCCTCGAAAAGTTTTTTAAGACAAAAAGAAACGAATACAAAATTCCCCTTTTTCTCCGCTTCTCCGTCTTCGAATTCCCATGCCGATTCCCTTCCTTCTTCCGCCGCTCGCTTCAGGTTTCTTCCGATTCTTCTTGCTTTCGGTTTTGATTCGTCGAATGATTTTCTCGTTTTCTCGATTTTGTATTCAATTTCGGTGTTGTTTTCTCGGCCGCTTCGTCGTCTCTGGGTTTTATCTAGGAAATCTCCGATTATCCGTCGAGTTCTATATTGATCTCTGACACTAGTCTTGTTGTTGTGATAATCCGGAACGAATCGAGAATAACTATGTTACGAATTCCAAGTAATTCTTCTCAATTCAGTTCTAGCTAAGTTTCATCAAACAAACTGGTTAACGCTTCCGTGCCTTGAATTCTATTGTTCGGGTGCTGTTTTGTTTTATTGCGTTGTACGTGCGATTCAATCCTCGAGCTTGAGACAATGCCATCAAGCAGATGGTTTGGTTTCCTCTAGTGATTCACTGGATCTGTGAACTGAATGCATGTATCTTGTTTCGGTGTAAGAATATTCTGGAAAGTTATGCATTTGCGTCCTTCATTGAACCCTAAGTGGAACATTTCTGTGTTATTTTTTCTCATGTTTCAGGCAAACGGTAAAAGAAGAAGGCAGCGAGTATCTATATGATGTTTTAGTATCACCGTTGTCTGGATTAGAGAGGTCGAACAGCTGCTGCACATCGTTATCTTTGACGGCTTTAGAGCCCCTTTCTCGTGAAGGAGACGTAGCTGAGGGTGCGAGAGATTTCGGGATCGTTTTTCATATAATGCCGTATTTTGTTCAGAGGCTTTACAGAACTTGCAAGTCATCTTTCTCTCCCGATGGGCCCATGTCAGAGGAAGCCTTAGAGAAGGTTCGCAATGTTTTAGGTATGAAAATATCATCGATCTTCTGTCCTTTCTCAACCATTGTTTGCCTTGAATTGCATGTCAAACTTTATCTTTGCTAGTTTTTTACTCAGGTGTACATATTTAATTGATCAAAGCTGTTGACGCGATACATTATACACATATTACTTCAAGCTTTCGTGGCTATAATCCAATACCTCACTCTTAGTTTTGTTGTCTTACTCTAAAAGTTTGTAATTGTGCTTAAAATTATGTTTGTGATTTTGTTTCAGAGAAAATAAAGCCATCAGATGTTGGTCTTGAGCAGGAAGCTCAATTGGCACGCAACAGGTCTGAGCGCAATGGAGGTGTTCAGTCAGTCCCAGCAATAAAGTACCTCCATTTACATGAGTGTGAAAGCTTCTCCGTAAGCATACTTTATTCAGGATTCTTTTGTTGATGGTTTTATCATGTTTGGAAGTTTGAGATTGCCTACTATAATATGTTTAGATGTGGAAAAGTGCATATAGTTTTGAAATCTTAGTTTTGGGATCTAACAGAGGAACTGGTCTTAGATTAGATGAAGCTGTAAGGTTTATATAGGAATGCTTCAGCTGCGCACACTATGTAGAAATCAAACAACAAGTATAAATAAAAGGTTGGAATGTTCTATCGTCAATCCTGACACAAGTTAGTTGATAAATAATATTTTCTCTTACCAAGTACCTAAACTAGGGCACGGGGCCATCACGGCATGGTCCTCGAGAGAAACTCAGGAATCCACCATCCTAACCTTGAGGCTGCAGCCTACAAATCATTCTGGAAGATACACACTTGAGAAAGTATGATAAACAGTTAAATATAGCAACCCGGTCTACTTGGCTCCTTACCATGTTGCCAATTATTTTACAGATCGGAATCTTCTGCATGCCACCTTCCTCTGTCATACCACTTCATAATCACCCGGGGATGACTGTGCTAAGCAAGCTGGTGTACGGTTCATTACATGTAAAATCATACGATTGGCTTGAGGTTGATTCGCTTGGGTCAGATGATGATCCGTTACAAGGTAATGTTCATCCTCCAATGGCGTCCAAATTTACTGGCACGTTTGAATAATTGCAACTGGTTCGTTGTTGAAACTTTTTGTGAATTCCTTAGGTGCAGCAAGACCCGCGAAACTGGTGAAGGACACCGAGATGACGGCCCCTTGCCCATCAACAGTGCTTTATCCCACAAGCGGAGGCAACATCCACTGTTTCAAAGCCATAACTCACTGTGCCATTTTCGATATTCTCGCGCCTCCATACTCTTCAGATCACGACAGACACTGCACCTACTTCCGGAAATCCAAAAGACAAGATCTTCCCTGTAAGACAGAACTACTGCTCTTAAAGACAGAGATATCTTGCTTCTGTTTCAGTATATATGCTATCGGTCTGATTTGTTTTTGTTGGAAAACCAGGCGAAGTGGAAGTGAAGGGGGGAAAGGTGGTATCAGACGTGACATGGCTCGAAGAATTCCAACCGCCTGATGATTTTGTGATTCGGCGAGTTCCTTACAGGGGCCCTGTTATTAGAACTTTCTGAAATATATATATATATATATATATCATTCAGTTCCTTATTTGGTGAATTTGCCTCCCCCTGCAAAATAATGAAAACATTTAATCTCCAGTTGTACATACTTGTCTGTGTGTGTGTGGGTCAATCTAATCGTTACGTTTGGACATGTGCTTTGTCTCTTCTTCCCCATCCATTGTACTTGCACCCCCTGATTTTGAAGTGAAAAGAAAGGGGGCGTATCTTGAATGTTTTTGGAATTCCGGGGTTTGAAGTGAGATTTTAAACTTTTTGGAATGTTTTTGGAATTCCAGGGTCAAAGTGAGATTTTAAACATTTGTTGGGGCATAAAAGGTAATAAATAAAAGTTAATAGATAGTTTCAATCTCCGTAGGAGGCGCGGTCTGGATCTTCCCACGCGGCCGCGAACCGACCAGGTTTAGTGTTCATCTGATTTCGTGAAATTTTGTTCCTTTGGATTTCGATTCTTAAAGAGACATGTGACCCCATGCATCCAGTTCCTGTTTCTCTCGTTTTGTCTGTTCCTTTCTTCGATTTTCTTCGACCAAAGGATCTTCGAATTCGCGGTGGAGATTGTCTGAATCTACCCAAATTTCCGCTCTGGTTGTACCAGTTTGATAAGAATTTATGGTAATTTGAGCTAAGATTCTGATATGCACAATGGTTTGCCCCAAATTGCATCCGCGGTGGTAGTCGTGTGAGGTAGGTTTTAGGTTTTCAGTCGCAGTCGAATTCTGATTCTGTAAAGCAGAAACATGGTGTCTTAGGGCTTCGTAGTGGCAAAAATTAAACGGAAAACAGAACGAAATGAGGGAAGGTGGGCTTAGCGTTAGCGGTAAATACCAGAAATCAGATTTCTGCATTTCTTTGGTGTTTCGCGGTTTCTGGTATCGATATGAAAAGGCAAAGATGTTGTTCATCCATCTCGCAGAAGGTGATCAGTGTCCGCCATGCGCATCTGATATGTATATCAGTTCGGTTCGGGACCAGGACCAAGAACCCGGGAACAGACGCTGCCCATCTCACACGATCTCGGTCGTGAGTAGAGCCACTTCCACAAGAAGGGTGCATCAGCTGAGGGCTCAAGGACTTGTATCGTGCCGTATTTTATCCAGAGGCTGCACAATAACTGCAAAACCTCCTCGTGCCGAGGTGAGGTCCTGTTAATATTAGAACATGATATATGACTCACCCCCACACTATTTCTCCTGTTATTATTATTTGATCTCATTTTCTTGTGTGTAAAGAATTTTCAACGACAATCATAGATTGTTATAATATGAACAAAACCAGTTTGTAAAGTTTGTTTTTTTTTTCTTCCCAGGGAAAATGTGTAAGAAGATGGACATTGGACAGTGAGAGAGTGTGCGGAGACATGTGATGTGAGCCACTTGGAATCAAGAATCCAAAATCCATAGAGATGCGGAGACGGTGCCTGTTTTTGCGCCGATTCTTTCTCCAACATGAACATGCCTACCAACGTACATTCGGACAAAACATCAAAGCTGTGTTCCTTCATCTTTCTTAGAGCCCACATATATATATATATATGTTATATGTATATATGACTTCATATATCTCTCTCTCTCCTTGGAATGTTTGTGTGGCCCAATGCCCTTTGAAGTAAGGTTAATAATAACACCAAGTATATAATACAAATTACTGACTTTACCCAACTGATCGTGAGCGAGTGGTCAAGTTTAGGGTACGAGGTAATTCCACCTTGAAGTTGAGTGTTCGGTTCCTCACTGGTGGAGAATGAGTTAATTTCTGGGTTTATATGATCTATATACAAAGACTGCTCTCGGGATGGAGATTTACTTAGTCAGCGCGTCCGAAAGCTAGCAGCTAAGGATTCTCTGTTATAAACAAAAAGTACTGACTTTGCACACAACATTCATTGGGAATCACATCCTCATCCAAATATGCCAAATATCGATTTTCTTGGGATTGGGGATAAAATGTTACTAGCTTTTATTCATTTACATTTGTGCACATCTTGTGTGTATATATGTGTGTGTTGTAAATTTATATTCTTCATATCATAAATATCTCCAACTCACATCAATTAGAAATCCGAAATATCCACCTTAATTAAAGGGAAAACGCAAATTCAAGAATATGTGATGGGACTCTGATATTAACCATGTGTGTGTGTGTGTGCGCGTATGTCTAAAAACGACATGTGATGGGGCTAAATGTATTCATGGAATTAAGGAGGAAGATGGGCTGTCTTTTGTGGGATGCATACATATTATTTTACATTCAAATGCTTCAATCATTTAACAATAGAGTATTATATAATTGTTTTTGGAATTATTCTTACATGGGTGTGCAAAACATGACAAAAGACTGATAGCTCAGTCTCCATCCAGCAGCAATGGTCAACTTGGAATTTTGTCTTGGGTGATACATTAATATCTGGTCGGAGAGATGAAATCTCTCTCTCTCTCTCTCTCTCTCTATATATATATATAGATTCTAGGGCATCAAATGCATTTTATGCATAATAAAAATGGTTAGACAAATCTGTAATTAATACGTATCTGTAGCTATACATATATCTTCATTTCAACCCATTATTTTCCTTTTTTAAAGCGAAAATGCGAAATAAGGAGATTGTTTTTATAATGAAGGAAGTAAGTTTACATGTCTTTATCATCAATTAGAAGAACAAAGAGACACATTTCGGTACGCTAACGAAAATCAAGCAAAGACCAAAAAACAAATGGGCACCATTCCATAAAAAGACTAACAGATACACGAGTACATATACATATATATCTATGCCTACGATCATACCTATACATTATTACATACACAAACCCACACATAATTTTCAATATATATGTGTGTGTTTTATAAAAAAAGAAAATAATAATACAATTCCACATATATATATATATAGTTCAATTGAACATTTTTGTGAATGCTACTAAAATTCTTTGTTCTAGTTCTCTCTCTCTACACATACATATCTATATATATATATATATATAATGCATAAAGAATGTGAGGGACACAAGAGAGATCAATTAAAAGTGGATCAAGTTACTATTCTCCAGAAGTTATAACTAAAGCAGAGAAAACAGAAGCAAGAAAAAAAAACAGTTTTCTTGACAAAAAAAAATGTCAATGATCTTATAGAAGAAACCACTTTGGTTTTTACAAACAAACCTGTCAGACTAGAACACAAACTGCTGCAAAGTAGGGATCTACGTCGGAGATGGCCACGTTTGACCTCAACAGAGAAGCAGTGGAAAACGGCGAAGAAGAAGAAGAAGAAGAGGATCAGACATGGCCGTCGTGCGGTAATGATAACGAGGAAGGGAGAACAAGTACGGTGAGACAGTATGTACGGTCGAGTATGCCTCGGTTAAGGTGGACTCCTTCTCTTCATCTCGCCTTCGTCCACGCTGTTGAACGCCTCGGCGGCCCTCACAGTACAATTATCTCCCTCTCTTCCCCATTTTCCCCATGCTATATTGTTGATCTTTCGAGTTCATCGGGATTTTGTCCAGGAAATTCATGAAAACATTGCATATGTTAGAACATTTACGAGGGTTTCCATGTTTCAGAACAAAGAAATGCTTATTGGCTTATTGCTGCGGCTATCAGTTTTGTTCATTTGCTCAAATCATATATGAACTTGTACAAAATATAGATATGCTTGTATGGAAAATGTGATATTATGTAATTATGTTTTTAATATTAGAATGCTTGGATTTGCTATGGAGGTTGCAGAAGCTACGCCAAAACTGGTTCTAGGGTTGATGAATCTGAAAGGGTTAAGCATTGCACATGTGAAGAGTCATTTACAGGTAACAGACAAATCTGTCATCGTCTCTTCTCTCTTCTTCCTCTGTTTGACGTTTTATCACATTCTGATTTCAGATGTACCGGAGCAAAAAGCTCGACGAGTCCAGCAATGGTAAGTTCCATACATTTCTTCAACCTGTGCCAACTTCACTCGGCATTGAACATAATGTTTTTTCTTGTAATTTTGATCAGCTGCCCGTCCGGGTATGATCAATGGGAAAACTATGAGGAAAAGTGGTTCTTTATTGGAAATGCTCAACTATGGATACATACCATATGGAGAATTCAGACATGTTTACAACTCGGAAGCCATTCTTACAAGGTAACTCACTCCACAAGTCAGATGCCCACAAGTTTCTAAATGCTCCATTGTTGCGAAAAGTTGACATCTTTCTCCATAGGGAACTTGAGCTGCGATCTGGCAATCAGGAACTCCTGATGGTAAACCCTGCAAAAGGAGTATTAGCAGATCTTGGTGTTAACCGTCTTGTGCAACCTTCTGGCTTGTGTAGTGGGTTCAATGGTAATCAATGGAGACCCGTCTCCAGAAGCTGTGATGGAGACGACTCAGAGTGCAAGACTCTACCTTTGCTCGAGGTAAGCTCTCTCTCTCTCTCTCTCTCTTCTTTTGCTTCGGCTAAAACAACGAAGGGCAATTCCAATTTGGTTCTTTTCTTCCCTTCTTTATGCAGATAAAAAAGACAACCGGTGAGAAGAGACGCAGAGACAAAGCTCAACTCTCGGAAGAACTAGAGGTGATAAAACAAGCGAAAATAATATCTAGAGAAGGGAATCTGTTACCTGAGTTAGGACTAAGCTTATGCCAAGCTTTTGGAAGCTGCAGGAAGCAAAAACTTGGAGAAGATATTAAGACAATGCTTGTGCTTTCTCTATTCCCAACTTCATCAGGGGACCAGAACATGACATCCAACATAGAGACATAAGGGATTTTGTTGGTATTCAAGGACAGATAATGTCTGCGCTTTTAAGGCTTTTCTTGAGATGAGTACTTGGCCAGGATCTGATGAAACCCACTTATCAGATCCTGTAAGTACTTTTCCTTCAGGCCAAATCTTGCAGATATCTCTTAGACTCAGCATCAGACACTCGGTTGCTTCAGTTTAAATTGATCAAATACAACCCCCCCAAGAAACAAACAATTTTTGCTTCTTCACAAGGTATGTTTGATCAGATTACTCCAAAGACGGCGAAAAAGAAAAACATGTGATATGTTCCTTCTTCAAAGCTTAACAAATCAAGGCCTTAGGTAACAAAACATCATAATCAGTACCAAAACCACTCAGAAGAAAGAAGAGAATGCTGGATCACACCAACTCCCATGGATCATATCCTTTTCATCTGTGCCCGATCTTCCTCTTCTCCTTCAATCTGTTGATGAACTCCTCTCCCCCATTCTTTCCCTTCTTTGGCTTTAGCAAGTAACAAACCCATATCTGCTTTTCTTCTTATGCATCACCTACTTCACCGTTTGGTTTTTTTGTTCTCGGGGACGATTTACATCCCATCTGCTCCTTCCAGTTCTTGTGTTTCAAATTGATTGGCACTGGAACCTTCTTGCTGTTGAAGAACTTCTTCCCTAGTCACCTTGACAACAGAGGAATCACTCTCTTGTCGTTGAAAAACATGTCGTTGGAGTCAGCAGAGCTTCCGTTTCGTCTCGGACGTCCAAGAAAAGGCAACCATCGAACGTTGTATACCTACACTAATCAAACAAAGCAATACATCTACTGGAGAGAAATCAAGGATCATGTAACGAGCTCGTAACAACAGTTTCGTTGAGCAAGGAACGCACTTGTATGCATACTCAAACTGCTAAAGCAGTATACCTAGGGTTTGCTCGCCGGATTTTCCTCCAGGGATCGACCCATTCCAGAAATTTGGCAAATCGAATCTCTGATCAGAGAGAATCAATGCCAATGTGCTCCTGAAGTGCTCGAGAAGATTTGCCCTGTGTTCCGCGATTCTCTCCGTCATTCGCTCCACATCCGACTTAGAACTTAGAAACCCAATTCGATGACCGAAGCTCTGATTTCTCCAACGTGGATCTCCGAAGTTCCCAGATTCTCCGGCGACGCCATGAATCTAATTCGCCCTTTCGTTTGTTTTTTTGGAGGGAACTCGGCGTTTGAATATTTTTTTCTTAACGTTAGGGTTTCGTCGTTTGAAATTCAACTGTCGGTGCCATATGGCGAGACGTGGACCCCACATTTTCCTAAAATTGTTTTTTTTTTTTTTTAAGTGTAAGTTGTCGCCGAGAATTTGATTAGCTTGTCATTATCATGGGGATTAAGTCGGTAGAGAGACCTTTAGGTTTTTTAGTTTAGGCTGTTTTTGTATTAGATTTATTATTTTATTTAAAATATTTATTTTTAAATTATTTATATTAGGTTCAAAATACAAAAACGTACAAAATTAATTTAATGGATCTGTTATATGTGGTAGAACATTTTTCTTTTGTTAGAAATTTAACCATATAATATAACCTATTTAAAAAACATTTTTTATTTTCTCATTTTTTTGTTTTTATGCTTCCGAATGGGCTTTTTAAAATCCGCCTTTCAATTTCCCAACACATGGGGGGATTATTTGATATAATAATTATATAGTTTCAATTTTTTATTATTAAGTTGATTACATTTTCTTTAGCTGCTTGCTTGTTGGTGCAATTATTCCAAGAATATATTTTTGTTCGTTCGACAATATCTAATGCTTTTCTTGGTTACATCTCGCTTTCATTCCTTTTTGTTTAATTTTATTCACTGTCATGTTACCATAAAATAGGTGAAACTCATATCAAAGTAAAATTAAAGAATCTAATGTAACTTAGCATAGCAAATGTATGATTTATAAGTTTTAATTTTTATTTTTACTCCTATTTCATAATAATTGACATTTTAAATAATTATTTTTGTTTTAAATAAATATCATTCTACTTTTTCGAGATAATTTTTAAAATAATTTTTAATTTTCCCTTTAATTAAAACTAGTATAATTGTAATAAATTTTTAATAACAATATAGTTTTTATCATTAAACCTATATTAAGTAAGGATGTATAAGACTTTTTTATATTCTTTTAAAAATATAAAAAAAATGAAACCGATAATTATTTAAAAATAGAGGGAGTATCATTCTTCTTCTTATTATTAATATATTATTATTGTTGTGGACCAAAAGACTTTATATTATAAAGGAAAAGGAATTAGATTCCATGACAAATTTCCACGTGCACCCTTTATTATATACAAATCTTATTGACCTTGACGTGGTCTACTTTAATTGTGTGCATAGAACCGAGGACCCCTCTTTAAGACTTTCTATAAATTAAGTTTTGCTTTGGCAAATGCGATTTTTTTCTATAAATATATCTTTTTTATACCTTTTATATACCATAATTAATAGTAACTGATTACGTCATAAATAAATCCACTCATAAAGTTTAAAAACCTAAAAAATCAAGGGTTTTGGTCGTCGTCTTTTACCAATTAGTTGAGTTACGGATATACAATAATAAAGATATGATTCATTAATAAATGATTAATTGCGCCTATATAAGTGTTTTTACGTGCATGAAAATATTAATTTGTAGTATATTGCTTTGTTATGTATTTTGTTTTTAGGAAATACGTATTAATCGTATCATGAAACGGAAATTTAAGCATAAGATATAAATTATAAATCTTTCCCAATTTTTTTTTTACCTTATTTAGTTTTCTACATATATCTATACTCGTATAGCTGTAGATATTTTTATTTGATTAAAAAACAAAATATAAATACGATTTTTGACCCAAATATATATATATATAAATACGATGCTGTCTTAAGAAAGAAATGGCCACGGTGGTGATTCACGCGGACGACCGGGGTTGCCAGCTGGCTGTCGGAGAGAGGCCACTCTCCTTTTCACACGTGACCTATCGGCCCGCACGTGACTCCCCCTCCCCCCCCTCTCCGGCTCTCCCCTTCTTCATTCACACTCCTAAAATCCCATCAAAGTCTTTTTATTTTTATTTTTTTCCAACATCATAAAAAAAACTATAAAACCCCAAGTCCCAGTCGCGTCGCATAATTCTCTGCTGCCGTCTCTTCTCTTCGCATATGCGCACGCATAATATGGTCGAGTGTGTGCATTTAGAGATCTTTCCTGTTCGTCCTTGATCTACGTTTCTTGGGCATTCTCGCTGTGCGATCGAGTTGTTTTCTCCGCAGCTTGATTGGGGATTGCTCGAGTTTGATCCAGGAACCGTTCAGAGTTCGAATGCGTGGATCTGCCTGCGGTGATTTGTGAAACCCTTATTGTTGTTTCGTCCTCTCCGAATCCATTCCTATTTGCCTGAATTGTGGTTGTTTTATGTGTTCTTGATCGATCTTGATGGTGGGTTTAGCGTTAAACGTTTTCTTCATTGGTTAAAGTTGATGGGTTTGGCTTTAGAACCGATTTTGTGTGCCGAGTGAGTTTTTGGGTAGATCGAACGCGATCGCGGGATTCAATTCCCCTCGTTTGGGAGTGTGATTCGGAAAGAGATTTGTGTGGGATTTCGGAATTGGGTTGCTGATGATCTGGGATCATGTAATCGATCCAAGTTAGCTTGCGGTTCTCACTGAGGATCCTGTCAAGAGTTTTTTGCGTTGACGTAGGTTTCAAGCTGAATTTTGAGAGTGAATTCTTTTGTTCTTCGAATGCATATGATCTCGTCCTCTCTATATCTCTGTCTACTTCTTTTCCGTATTTGTCGATGAAAAGATACATTATAGGCATCCGGCTTCTTTATTGGCAAATCCGGTGGCCTTAGTTCGATCCTTTGAAGGGTTTCTTCCAGAACTTCAAGGAGAATGAAATGACCTTATCCTGTGTGATGATTGCTTTTTCTATTTGATGCAATTCGCATATGTTGCTTTTCTATTATGGCCCATATTTACTATGTTATTGTTGGACGCAGAGGCATTGAATGCTCAACAGTTGCAGATATTTTGCGGCTAGGCTTGAGAAATTCTGAATTTCTGATGAAAGCTTGAAACTTTAATCTAGATTGCATTTTGTTGGCAAGAGTTGTGGAGACGAAAAAGGAAAACCGTTTTTCCCCATGCATGCACTCGTGCGAGCATATATATCTATTTGAATGTTGTTTCATTTTTTCGTAAGTACACGATTTAGCTTTAATTACTTAACCATTTTGTTCTTGTTTATGCAGGTCAGTTGACCTCCGGCTTAGCAGCTGTAGGTACAGGATGGCTGCTTCTTTAATATTTGGTATCTAGGTTTTCCTTCTTTTCTCGACGCAGCTTTTTGTGGGGGTAAGGGGGGTTTCATATGGTTTTAGGCATCAAGGGTCTAGGCAATGGAGGGGATGCAAGATGATGCGGCAGGGGCATCAGGACATGGACCATCAAATGCATCTTGGTGGCAGTCAGAATTTGTGGAGAAATTCGGATCCATTTCTCTTGGGTCACAAGAAGAAACATCGACAAGTAAAGACTCACCCAGAAATCGTGAACAAGATGTCTTGACATCTAATAAGGCATCACATATCCTCTGGAGTACTGGAATGCTTTCTGAGCCGATTCCAAATGGCTTCTATTCTGTCATTCCAGTAAGCGACCTTAATGTTGATATTAGATTTGTCCTATAATTTTCTGGTAGCTGCATAAAACATGTTAAAACAACATGGATTGTGGAGAGACGTATTTGAGTCAGTAACCTATGAATGTTGAATCATTTGTTCATTCTGTTCTTTGATGTCCTGCAGGATAAAAGACTGAAGCAGCTTTTTGATACCATTCCTACATTGGACGAACTTCATGCTTTGGGTGACGAAGGTCTAAAGGCTGATGTGGTTCTTGTGGATTTTCAGAAAGATAAAAAGCTTTTTATGCTAAAGCAGTTGATTGTTTCGCTCGTCAGAGGATTAAACTCAAATCCAGCTACCATTATTAAAAAAATTGCTGGACTGGTAAGAATGGTCAAATCATCGCTAAAGCTTTTTTCTTTCCAAATTTGTTCTCCAAAAAGCTTTCGCATATGATCAGTCTGTGCTTCTAACCTTTTGCGGCATGCAATGAAACGTAGGTTGTTTGTTTGTGAAATGATCAAAAGGTTGTTGAGATTGACCACTATTATATTGACACAGGATCTTCAGATGGATTCTTTTCCTAAACTGCAAAGCTAGCAATACTTCTTAGTAACATTTCAAAATGACTACAATAAGTTTCTTGCTTTGTCTTTGTAATTTCACTCGTTCATTGTGTTTCACTATGAAAAAAGAGGTAGATTAGGAAACATTTATAATGCGATTGCTTGCATTTTTGCCGGTTATCGTTGGATTTATTGTACTCCATGTAACGCATCATAGTTTGTAAAAAAGAGCATTTTTCTTATGTATTATTTTCACTCTTTTTGGTTACCGGGAAATCTTCATTAAAATTTTGCTGCTTTCCTGTCAGGTGGTAGATGTTTATAAACGGACAACTCTGCATAGTCCGGCAAAGGCTGCACTAGATGAAAATTCCCAATCCTCTGAAAGTCGTGGCATTCAACTCCTGGGACAGATAAAGCACGGTTCTTGTCGTCCTCGAGCAATATTATTTAAAGTTCTAGCAGATACTGTCGGCCTTGAAAGTAGGCTTGTAGTGGTAAGTATCATTAGTTATGTGGTCAGTTCTCGAGCAATATCTTTCTATTTTTCATTGTAATTGTAATTTCATCTTGGCCTATATGTCGAATTCCATGCCCACTACATTAATGTATTTGGTGTTTCTGTTGATTTGTTTTATCAGGGTTTGCCAAGTGATGGCGCTGCTGAGTGTGCGGATTCATATAAACATATGTCTGTTATGGTTGTGCTAAATTCTGTAGATATGCTGGTTGATCTTATGCGATTTCCTGGTCAGCTTATTCCTCTGTCAGCCAAAGCAATTTTTATGACTCATATCTCAGCAGCTGGGGAGAGTGATTCTGCAGAAAATGACTCCTGTGATTCACCTTTGGAGCCAAACAGTCCCCTCTATGGTTACTCGGAGCAAAATGATCATGAAAGGTCAGGATATTCATATGCATATATGGTCCATCACCTACCACATTTTACTCTTTGTTCTTTTAAACTCTCATGTTTTAGGTTGCAAAGTTTCGAATTCTTTTTGTTGTGTTACAGTGCAGAAAAACATGAAAACTTTCAGTTCCATAGGAAATTGGAAGGTTCTCCAAATATATATGGTCCATCATCTAGGAATATAGCATTACGACATGCCCCTGCATTAGAGAGGAAATTAAGGTGATGACCATTGTCTTTGATTGCATATGGTTTGTCAACCACTCGGGACTTAAATATATCTGTTGTTTTTTGAAAGCCAAGGAATTCGTGTTATGATTGTATGTCATTAAGTTCTCTCCTTGGTAATAAAACCCTAGGATTACACATGCTTCGAATGTAGTATGGCAATAACCTTTTCTTTTTCTTACCTCAGTTTCTCAAAGAGTGAACCCAACATTGCTACTGAATTTTGGTGGCGTAACCGGAGAAGGGTCATTGCAGAACAGCAGACTGCTAGTTCAAGGTTATTCTTACCCCTGTTGGAATTTGTGCTTTGTACAAGACGCCATCTGAAGCCACTATGTTTCAGTGCTTATAGTTTAACTTTCCCAAAAAAAAAATTCTGACTTGTTGGATTCTTTAATTTCATTGCCTTGACAGTCCTGAGCATCCATCGTTAAGAGCACGTACAAGGTCCATTCTAAGCGGCGATAGAAACTCAGTCCGAGATTTCAACGATGATGTTGCCACATCAAGGTTGGTTGTACGTTTATGTGTTTGTTTAAAAACTCCAAGCCGTGTTTTGATTTGTTTTGGGCTTAATGACTCATGACGGTGTCCAAAGTTGCAAACTCAAAAATTGCTGATGTGCAGCTATAAGTCTGATGGAACACCAAAAGCAGAAGCTAAGAGAATAAGGAGGAGAAGCATTAGCATAACTCCTGAGATTGGCGATGACATCGTAAGGTGTGTGTTTAGTATTTTAGATACTTTTTACACACACACGCGGGGTATTCTCCTCTAATTCTACTATACTCAAAAGTTACCATTATACAGCTGCGATTTCCTATAAACTGCTGTAGTATTATATATGTATATACGGATATACTAATTGGCAGTATGACTCTTTTATGGAAAAATACCAAAGCATGACATAGAAAGAACATTATTTTCTTGGATCTTAGGCATAATCTTGAGCATCCCCTATATGGCACCTTATAAACTCTAGCAAACTAATTTTAACCTTTTGATATATGTTGCTTAAAAGTTTTATTAATTTGTTTCAGGGCAGTACGAGCAATGAATGAAGCCTTGAAACAAAATCGCCTCATGAAAGAAGGAGGCGGTGATGGTTCACTTCCCAACTCTTCAGGTGACAGAACTGGGAGCCCTGATCTCCATAAAAAGGTACGTAACTGTTTAGTTAGTTTTATGAAGAGGACAAAAAACACTTGTAAAATGATTAGAATATGGTTAATATGCTTGTGAAAAGTGGGAATTTGTTTCTGGTTATATGATGTCTTGTCTATATATATATATATATATATAGGTATCTGGTTTCCATCTTGATGCCCATGACCAAGTATCGGGTGGAAGGTCGACATTATATTCTCATTCCAGGGAACCACTTCTAGAATCTCAGAAGGCAATTTCACTGCCATCGTCTCCGCAAAATCACCGGAGCCACTCAACTGAACGGAGGGAACCTCCAGTTCACAATATCAACAACGTTTGGAATGAAGTGCTGGAATCTCCGATGTTCCAGAATAAACCCCTGTTGCCTTATGAGGAATGGAGCATAGACTTCTCCGAACTGACTGTTGGAACTCGTGTTGGGATCGGTAAGTAACAACTGTTCACTATAAAAAGACATGCAAGTGTATGTGTTTCAAATTCACGTGAAGCAATTGTCTTTGCAGGATTCTTTGGAGAAGTTTTCCGCGGCGTCTGGAACGGAACAGAAGTCGCAATCAAGGTGTTCCTTGAGCAAGACTTTACAGCAGAGAACATGGAGGATTTCTGCAACGAGATATCCATTCTCAGGTATTGTCGTTTTTTCCCTTCATTCGGTTCTCATATGTCTCAACTTGTCTTCTGACACTGTCCGTCGCCTTCTCTTGTTCATCCGAAAACGAGCAGCCGTATTCGACATCCTAATGGTACTACTACTCTTCATCTACTTGAAGTTTTTCTAGTTTATAAAGCCATTATTATGTAAACATTCTTATTGAATTCTTTGTAGTGATACTGTTCCTGGGAGCATGCACAAAGCCTCCGAGGTTGTCGCTGGTGACAGAGTACATGGAAATGGGATCCCTCTATTATTTGATCCATATGAGTGGCCAAAAGAAGAAGCTAAGCTGGCGGAGGAAACTCAAGATGTTGCGTGACATTTGCAGGTATTATTTCATCTTTAATACCCATTTGCCAAATTTCTCTGTATGAATAATTATAATAATAAGCCTTCATTAAAAAAAATTACGGTCATGTTGGGTAAAAAGGGGGTTGATGTGCATGCACCGGATGAAGATAGTCCACCGTGACCTGAAAAGCGCAAACTGCCTAGTTAACAAGCACTGGACTGTCAAGCTCTGCGATTTCGGGCTCTCGAGAGTAATGACGGATGGAACGGTGAGGGACACCGTCTCTGCAGCTGGAACCCCCGAGTGGATGGCTCCTGAACTTATACGCAACGAACCCTTCTCTGAAAAATCCGACATCTTTAGCCTCGGCGTCATCATGTGGGAGCTTTGCACTCTCTCCAAACCCTGGGATGGCGTACCTCCAGAAAGAGTATGTATACGTTTTCCGTATTGCAAGATTTCTTATACGCATGGTGATATAACTGGCTTCTTCCATCATTTTTGCAGGTCGTTTATGTGGTCGCACACCAGGGATCCCGGCTCGAGGTCCCTGAAGGGCCTCTCGGAAGGCTCATCTCTGGTCTCTATTCCTGTCACTGGTCATTCATCTCCTGTCTAAACCCTTTTTATGTCGGTCTAACTGGTTTTTTTTCTCTTGGGTGGATGCAGATTGTTGGGCAGAGCCGCAGGAAAGGCCGAGCTGCGAGGAGATTCTGTCCCGTCTGCTTGATTGCGAGTATTCGCTCTGCTAACTCAACGCTCTCTCGTCTCGTCTCTGTTCCTTTCTGTGTACAGAAGTTTCGTGCTTTCTCGGCTATTTTCCTCCCGAGTTTGTATAACAATGGCATTTTTTTCTTTCCTTGTGGGGGCGAACAACACAAAGGAACCATCTTTCAGGTTCCCCAGATCCCGGAGGACAGAGCTCCGCGGATCATGTTTTCCTTGTACTTCTTTGTGACAAAACAAAAAGAAAACATAATAAGATCATAATAATACAAACTATTAAAGGTTACATTTGGTTGGTTACCATCCTCTCTTTTAACAGTTTTTTTACAGATCTCAGTCGTCGATGTATCGGCTGTTCAAAGCGTCTTCGAAGCGGCTACAAGAAGCGACTCTCATCTCGGTGCTCATGTCGTTCTCGGGCGCCGGGTAATAGTCTTCCCTCAGCTGAACATCCCTCAGGTTAGGTATCCTCGGAAAGAACATCATGAAGTGTTCATGAGCAGTCCCGTGGATGAAGAGCTTCCTCAGTGTCAGACACTCTTGTAGTAATCCGACCGCCGGAAGGGACAGGCTCCTCTGGTTAACGTCCCTGTCCTGAGGCGGCCAGTAATCGAGCTCGCTCAGGCTCAAGCTCCCGATCCCTGTCAAGAAGAACCTCTCCCACAAGCTCAGGTCCATCTGCATTGGCGGTGCAGTCAGGGCATACCCGACTGTGTCCCCGCAGTCCAACTGCATCTTCGTGAGCTTCGGGTACTGGACCAGACAGCTCAACCCAAACTCTGGCTCTGCTGGTTTGTGTCTTCCCCTGCAATCTCCCTCGATCTTGATCCTGATCTCTTCCAAGTTCGGACAGTCTTCGAGCCCCACCATTGGCAATGGTGTCAGAAGGTTTCCGACACCGATCCATAGAGACAGATACTCCAGTTTCTCCCAAATCCCGTTGTCGTCATTGCTGCCTGAAAACGAGTGATCTCCATCCAATGTGTACTTGCATCTCTTCTGTCTCCTCTCCTCATCATTGGCCGCACTCGCCTCTTCTTCTTCACGGAAAGATTCGTTTAGATCGAACCCGTTTGCTCCTCCCCCCTCGGATCCCGACCAAATGCAATCGATGTGCAGTCTTCGAATCCGATCGCGGATCGGCTCCATAGCTCGCAACGAAGTAGCAGCATCCAGATTCTTACAGCAAGCTACTTTAACATCGGACAGTGTCTTGCTCAGCAGAGAAGCCATTGTCCTAAGCCCCTTCACTGTTATATCATCGCATCCTTGAACCTCGAACTTAGCCAGCTTGCAACACCCTCTCCCGATCGCGACGAGACCCATGTCGCTCAAGTCGCCGGAATTCTTTATCGACAATGACCGTAGCCTTCCGCACAAGGCCACGCCGTCGAGCCGCCGCCAATCCAAGGCGGAGCAAACGTCTTGGAACTGACCCAGCTTCAGTACTCTTAGCTTTTTGCATTTCGTGTTCATGGCCTCTAAGGCATTGGATGGGCGGTGATCGTGATGGTACTATTTCTTCTCTGAAACGATCTGCAATTTTTTCGGATTTCTCCTTCTTTTGCTTGCTCGATTGTCCGGATTATTGAATTATTCTGGAATTACGTGTTTCAGGAAACCCGAGAGTAACTCCCGAAGTTACGAGAGACGTATGCTTATTAGCCAGAATGATGGCTGCTAACCTCTACTTCTCTCAGATAGAGGATCTTATGTTCGAGGTATTAAATGATGATATAATATCTCATCACATCATTCTCTTTCCGCCCTCCATTTTCCGGAAGAGCTGAGAAAACCTCCACCAGCGTCGCCGGCGTGATCTTTGCGTCTCCTCCGCCGTCGAAACCGGCTCTAGGGTTCGACAGAGACGACGTATCCACCATGTGGAGGAGAGTGAGCTTGGGGCAGTTGGTGGCGACGGCGGAGAGGGTCTCGTCTCCGACGAACCCCAGGTACCTCGGATCAAACGTGCAGGCGACTCGGAAATCCATCAGATTAGGGCAGGATTTGGTGATTTCGGCGATCTCGCTCGATTTGTAACCCTCCGTGAAGGACGCCGTCATGAGATCCAAGCGCGTGAGCTTCGCGGAGACGTCGGGGTACGCGCGAAGGACCGGAGGCAGATCCTCCGTCCAGTGGTAGAAGGCGGAGAGATCCAGCGACTCCAGCGAGCCACAGTGCTCGAAGATGGGGACGAAATCACCGCCCAGTGGGATCCCGGCGGCGCGTTGGTGCCACCGCACGAGCTTGATGCGGCGGAGCTTGGGCCAGTGAGGGAGCAACAGGTCGAGGGTTGCCGGAGATCGAGAGTAGACGGCAAGGCTCTCGACGACGGGAAAACAGGCTTGGAGGCGGCGAGCTAGGAGGGACTGGTGATCGGCGGGAGAGGAGGCCAGGAGGGAATGACCCCATGGAGAGAGGAAGGAGAGATCGAGGGAAGAGACGGAGCGAAAGCAGGCGGGGACGAGGAAGAGGTCACGCGCGTTGCCACGGAGAGTGAGGGAGAAGCGAGTGGCCCTCTCGAGGGCGAGGAATTTGCGGGAGACGAGGGAGAGGGAGTTTCGGGTTCGTGAGTCGGAGACGAGGGCGGAGATGTTGCAGAGGATGACGTCAGGGAGATCTCCGATGGTGGTGATGGACGCCATGGGAGGGGGAAAGGTGGAGCTTTAGGGTTTCTGTGGAGTGGGTGAAGAGGAAGGTTGATAATGTCGTGGAAGGAGAGAGCCACGTGATTTCTTTTGTTCCCTTTTTGTTTCTTATATCTATTTAGATAATTATGTAAATCTATTTATTTTTACTTACCGTTAATATGAAATATTTATTTATTTATTTTCTGTATAATAAAAACCGATGAGATTATGTGGGGAGTTGGAATGATCAAGTTAATCGTTTTTGGTTAACTGGAAAATTTATTATCGAAGTGTTTAGTAATGGTGATGGGGCTAATTGAATGTCACCTCCTGTTAGGTAGGTCTATGCATATGGGTTGCCATTTGAATTATTGTATACAAAACTATATTAAATTATAAATCAAATTCAAATAACATCTATAAATATATTATGGATAATTTTCTAAATATAAGCTGAGTATAAAAAATAACTGAAAATAGTTTCTAAAAATAAAATATAAAACAAATACAAGTTTATATAAAATTTTCAATTTAAATTAATTTTAAAAATATGTAACTATATATGGAACAAATTTCTGCGTTTTTTTTTATTTTTAACCGAAAAAATATTTATTAATTTTATTTGGTTAAAAGAGATTAAAACAAATAAACTATTTTTTCTACCAGCACAGATTTCTTATGAAAATCTTTTTTGAACGACTGCACGAGTATATATAATTATAGATATCATAAAGTGAAATATTGCAATTTTCTGTCCAACTTATATCGCCCGGTAATATTAAACTATCAATATGTTTTTAATGCTAGAATCACAGAAATATAAGATACGTTACATTAATTGTTGAAACCCTAATTGCATCATATATGATGCGTTGTGATACAATTTTATTTTACATTTATAAAAATCGACGAATTTGTAGAATATAACCACTAGAGATGAAAATACACTTCCGATGGTATTAATTAATCACGGTGTTTATCATTATATCACGGTCGTATGTGATTTCATATATATAACAATATATATACACACACTATCACGAAGTGCCCTTGTTTATACTATATGGTACATTATTAAACAAGAAGATTGAGGGGGGGGGGATATGAAAGCGGTCCAAATTAGGTGAAGGGATAAGGGAATAAATCCAATAATTTTTGTGATGAATAAAAATAAATAAATAGTCATAATCAGTCTTACTCGCCATGTTCCACCGAGATAGAAGAGCACGCACCTTTGTCCCTAAGATACATGCATCGACCCTCCCAAGACTATGTGTAAAGACCCCTTTGCCCCTACACCCCATCTTTTGTTTGCTCGGGGAGTTAAAGAGAGCGGACACATAATTATGTTATATTATATATATACATACATATATATGATTGTATACATGGCCGCCAATTTAGCTATACATATATGTATATAAAATAAAACGGACCGAAGTGGATACATAAATCACGATCGAGAACCATCATTAAAGTAATGGTAGTAAGTGACTTTGCAATTCAATTGAAGAAGTTTTGGTGCTTTATTCAATTGGATGTGTAGGGCACACATTATCTTGTAGCTTCCTCATCTTGCCGGTCTCTCACACGCAAAGGCATGTGTGTATATAGATGTGTAAATAATCATATCATATATATATATATATATGAGTGTATGTGTGTAATTGTGCTAGACACTAGACACACGTCTCTACCCATCTTATTATTATTATTATTATTATCTAATATAATGTAGTATTTCCTTGAAACCTATGTCAAATATGATGTGATATAGGCTTGACTATAGACCGGCCCTAGTGAGATTTTTTAATTAATCTAATATAATTTACTAGATGTATTTTTATTATATCAAGTGACTAAACCTTTTACACTTTGGTGTGATAAAATTTAATGGAAGGTATTTTACCTAGGGGGAAAGTTATATATATATATATATATGGATGAAAAAAAATCCACCGAGATGACTTTACAAAGCCATGAAATAAGGTCACACCAATGCCACGTGGAGAGGAAGTACTCGATCATATCGCGCAAATATTATTAACATGCGTATGATTTGATTTGTTAGAAACACATGATATTCGAAAAAGGAAAAACTATCCTCTAAGCAAAAGTTTAACGTAACAAAAAAGGACATAATATGATAATTCTGTTGGACCTAAATAATAACACACACCATTTGCCAAAGAAAAAATACAAAAAAAAATCAATATTCAAATATTAATGATAAAAATTAAATAAATGCGTATGAAAATATTTTTTTTAATATTAATTTTGAAAAACATAAATTAAAATATCAATAATTTATAGATTGGAACAAAAATTAAAATTTATTAAAAAATATATAAACTATTCATAACTTGTTTTATAAATTTATAATTTTTAAATATATTTACAATATTAATTCTTTATTACTAAAAATGTAATTAAAATATACGAATTAATAAATATAGTATTTTTTTTATATTTTATAAATAATAAATATTATCAGTGCGTACTCTAAATGTCTAGTGTTTACGGTTTACTCTAATTGTATTATTATATTTAAATTTTAGGATTAACTTCAATTATAAACAATACAAGAAGAGGTTTTGTATAAATACCACGATGGTGGATTCGCATGGGAATGGGATTAAGCTTTTCCCCACCCGTGGGGCCCGAAAAGATTACAATGCACATAATTCTTAGATCTCTCTAATCTTTTTTTTTAAAATCAAGATTTTCAGGTCTTAATTAATGTATTAGGTTAATATAATCTTTTCGTGGGTTTGAAATTAATAAATGAAAATAACCGGAAAAAGAAAAGGAAGTGGTGCAAAATGGGAGTGACGTGGAAGGAGATAAGCGACGTGAAGTGAAGTGATGGTATTGTACCATTTGTACAATTCCCCAGAAGTACACCGTGTTGTCTCCGTCTCTCGACGTTGGCTTGCATGTCGTTTTTTTTCTATTTCCCGATTCTTTCTTTAATTCCACATCTCTTCCGGGTGACGTGGACACTTTCCGACAAAACATTTCAACTCGACATGTGGCTCTCCTAACTGCCACGTGTCGGTTTTTCTGGAAATCGAATTATATGCAAAAAAAAATCTTTGGAGTTAATAATTGATTGATGCACATCGTTGGGATATTTTTCAGTTTTTTGTCACTTAAGATTCGGATATGTAGATTAACGTCGGTTTTTATTTAAACAAATCATGCCACGTGTTTTAATAAAGTTTTTTCATATGAATAAAATATCGTTTATATATGTAAAACGAGGCGATATCCCTAAACAATTATATTTATATTTCTCGTGAAAATAAAAACGTGGATATTAAAATATAGAATTTTAAAATTTGGTTTTAATCGAGATTTCGAAATGAGTGTTTAGTAGATAGAATAGTTTTTTTTTTTCTTTTAACTATTTTTTTCATAATTTAGTAAGAATATTCATTTCAAAAATGGGCTTTTGTGTCTGTATGTAAAGCCTAATTTGTGAGGTTGAAATTCTAGTTTGAGCTTAAGAACTTAAAAGGCCCATTACGTTTCCGTTGCTCTAATGGATGCTGGGTTAATAAAGTGTGGGCTAAAGGCCCATTTCGATTAGCCCACGTGAGGTAGTTCTATAGTCATATTTTTGCACATTGACCCCCCTCTTTTACCATTTTTATACATTGACCCCTACGTTTTGTAGCCTCCTTGTTGAAGTTTCTTTGGACATTTTAACCCTTTTTCTGCATTTTTAATGTGAAACAGCATGAAAAGGGCTTTCATGAATGGATCCTTGAGTCGAATATGTCGAATAAAACCGTATCAAGATCGGCTAAAATTTGTGATGAACAATGAAAACGAGACATTGATAGGTTGTAAGATATGCCACCAATATCATCCTTGGCCAAATACGTTCAACAAAGCACATTGAATTACAAAACAGAAAAAAACAAACCAGGAATATAAAACCCATATAGAATATTACATATTTCAAAATAAATGCTTAGAGATTATATATATTTATGTAGCAAACATTTATGTATATGAGGAGAGAGCGAAACTCAACATGATGCTTTATAGATGATTGTAGGCAAAAACATGGAAGAAGATTGGCCAAAAGGGGCATGAGAACCGAAGGGGACAATTTCGCACGGCTTCTCGCTCATCATGTAGATCCCTTTTTTACATTGAGATCATCATCCTACATTCATCGATATATTCATAAGAACATCGTCGTGTTATATATGTCTCTTAATACCGAATCCACAAAATTTTATTTTCAGGGGAACTAATAAAAGCTTCACTCGAGGGCTCTAAATGAACATCTAAACGATCAAATCGGTCTATGAAGTTATACTTAATTGATCGAACCGACTCATAAATATATCGTTATACATAACCATAAGATGTGAAAGTAATATAAATGTCTTAAAAGACCAGCAGTTGAACCGAATTTTATAGAAAATAATGAGCATGAAAACTTACGCTGCAGCCGTAATTAGCTATGGCAAGAGGCATGCATCATCTTGCATAATTAACGTGATAATGTGCCATGGATGAGAGAACACCTACCAAGAGATGTGGAAGAACCCTAAACAAAATCAACAGACCCTTAAAAAATCTATAATCTACGTAACTCTCGCTTATATCATCTATGCATGTTAGTTTTTTGTACATTTTCATCACCGCATGATTAAGATAGATCATATATTCAGTAGTTGCTGTAACGTGTATGGCATATTTCTTAACACACGCATATGATTATATATATGATATCGAGGGTCCAATAATTATAAATATACACAAATATGTGCAAACTTTTCCAAACCTGGTGGAAATACATATTCTCGAAGGTACACACGTAGGGATGGATGGTTCATGCATGCAAAGCGCATATATATAGGTATAGAATGTATGTAGTATATACAACAGCGTAAGAGAAATTGGAAAAAAGGGCCTAAAAACTAAAAAGAAATTAATCAAACTAACGCCTAATTATTTCCCTTATTATGCCCTTACAAAGTCCATGCATTGAATATTATCTATGTTATTTCAGTATCATGTCCATGCAATTGAATCTTTCTAACAAAAGGCAATAAAGGGAAAGAAAACAATTGGATTAGACTTGGTTGCATTGATCGATGATCGTAGAGAGACTCCCAAGCATACATAGGGTTTGCCTATAGTGAAATTTTGCAAAACGGAGATTTAAAGAGCACCAAAGCACGGGATAAAACATTGAAATATTATGTGTTTCTGTTCGGAAAGAACCTTTGATTAACCATACTGTTTTCAGTTATTTGTCATTTTGTTTAGGTTCGAAATTTTAAAAAAAAATGGCAAAAAGAGAGGTTCATGTCTTTGCTTGACCATCTGTGAATATGGGGCACAAAATCTACCAAGGAGACACATTATTATATAATTAGATAAAAGCTCATCGCATTCGAAGAGCAAATTATTGTACACAACAGTGATGCCCGTGCCTGTTCATGTTCATGTATATATATGCGACACATATATAGGAAGAGTTAAACCACCTCAAGTAATATATATCGTCATCTATTAATCGATTCCAGAACATGAAAGGAAGCAGTTAAATCCAATCTTATTGTCAATCTTGATTGATTGATTGATTAGTTCCTCTGAGAGAGAACAAAGAACCTTGCCCTTGAAAATCTTTGATTACTAAGAAAGCCGATCGTCTACTAAACCCAGACCCATTATCAAGTTTAATCTAACCAAGAATCAAAAGATGAAGTGCTTACCGTACGTAGCTGATATTAATTATCGAATTTAGGGTTTGATATACATGGCCATTATCTACTACGATCGACGATTCCTTGCCCAAGCTGGTTTTGAATCTAAGTTTCATAACTAGTTCTAATCAAGATGAGGACAAGAACCCAGTCGATATATATCCTACATACGTATACTCGTGCATATATATATGCAGTTGCAGATCCAAGAATATCTTGATCAGACTATAGTCAAACAGACTAAGATATGAATCTATGAAACATGTGAACAGTGCACCCTAGTACGTCAGATTAGTCGGGCCAAAGATCTGGATATCTTCGTTACAAAAGAAAGACACAAAGAAAAGGCAGCGAAAGGAGAAAGTTACCATGGAGATAGAAGCCGGGCAGGATTCAAGATTCGACGAGACGCCAAATCTAAGAGAAGTGGAACGCGGGGGAAGAAGAAGAAGAAGAGTCATGATCCTTTGTCGGTGTCGGCTTCTTCTTCTTTTTCTTGTAGGGGATGCCTCTTGCCTTGGCTTGACACTCTCTGACCTCCCTGAGAAAAACCCTGATCGCTCCACTCGCGAAAGGGTTCGTCTCTGGTGAGCCTCCGTTCTCCTCGTAGGCCGCTCTAAGGCGGCCTATGAGGGCGTCGAGGCTCCCCCAGGCCTGCCTGAGAGGGCAAATGCATGGCGCTGGTGGCTCGGGCTGGCCATAGAACATGCAGCCAGGGGCATGGACCTTGGTCTTGCCGAACTGATCCAAGTAACGGAGAAAATCAAGAACATGGTTGCAGTTGCATTGAGACAAAGGAACTGGTGGTCTCTGGTTCTTGAGGTACTGTCCGAACGTGTTCCAGTCCCGCCTCTTCTGTGACTCGTACCGACTCGGTGTCACCGATTGCTGTTCTCCCGATCCCGATCCCTCCATCAAGCTCTTTCCTCTTTGTCCTGGGGATGACATCTCCAATGACGACGACGACGATGATGATCAAGTAGTGTTCTTGAAGAGATATCGGATCAAGAGTGAGAGAAGGGTTTCAATTTTTGCGGGTGAGGGGTTTGCTAAATCAGGCAATAAAAAATGGAGGTTGAGTGAGTTTGATGTGAGGTGAAACAAACAGGAACCATTGGAGAGAGAGAGAGAGAGAGGATGGTGATGATGAAGTTCACGTCAGAGAGGACATGTTATGGGGCCTATATAAACTTGCTTTCCTTCTCCCCTTCTCTTTTTTCTTTTCAACATCCTTTTTCAATTTCATTCTTGTAATATATTCTCAATTCTGTTGTTTACATTGATGAAATTCATCTCAAAAGGAAAATATTAAACTCTATTTCGTTTTTCCTGGTCATTCGTACCATTCACCCACACAATTTCATAGATATTTCGAAATAATTATAGTAATAAATTCCATTGTTTTTTAAGACATTGTTAAAGAAAGATTAAGACACTTATTCACCTACTCATAAATCTTCAAAAATAGGATTTTAGTTCATAATTTTCGAGGAAAAAATAAGTATTGTTCAATATTGCTTAGGTTACAACATTTTAAAAATTAAATACTGAAAAAAAAAACTAGAATTCGAATTATACAAATTTTATCAATGATGGAATATATTTTGTGTCTTAATTATGCGAGTAAACAAATTTATGTACCAAAACCTAATAAAATTAATAATTGTTTTAAGTTGCTTAATCTCATAAAATTTATGTATGCGTTACACGTTTTCCTTCTCTTATACACACACACACACACACACAAGGTATACCATAGTTTTAAATTGTGCATTTTCCATGTAAATTTCTTGAGACTGGCCCTTGTTTTTCCAAGACACATAGTACAATAATTGTCGTGAATTTTGTCAACAAAAAGCTGCATCCGTTTGTCATTAAAATCAAACAAAGCCTAATTTTCCGACTAATTAATCCTGCAATTTATTATATTATTTCATATTGAACAGTAGATAGTGATCAATTATTTCCGCATGTTATTTTATAGGAAAACTAGGGTTTTCTTCATCTATTTTTTTTTTTACTTTTATTTTATTTTTGGCTTTTGACGGAATCCATGGAAAACTAGGTTATGACTCACGAACCACTATATTTACCTAGTTAATTAAATCGTATCTATGATATGGTGCCTTGTTATTGTTATATACATCAACACTGAGACTTATATCATGCTGACACGCGTACAATTTTTCAAGAAAAATATTATATGAATGTTGGTCTGACTAATATATATATATATATAGAGAGAGAGAGAGAGAGATCATATAAATTCTAAGTGTGACTAATATATATATATATATATATATAGAGAGAGAGAGAGAGAGAGATCATATAAATTCTAAGTGTGGCAAAGGAATTATTCATATTTTTAATGCATTACTGTACTGTAACGGGGGTATAGTTATAGGTTCATGGATCGATACATATAATTATTTTCTCATTATACGAAACTTAGAATAAGGTCATCAATTATTTTGGAATATAAGCTCATATACAATTATTGGCATATGTGGATGGATATGATAAATGGTACGAATCAAAATTCTCAGATGCCATGATTCAAAAGAGGGAGAAAACCTCATAGTTACGTCATATTTTGGAGAACGACAGATTACCTATACGGGGCCCACTATATATCCTACGTGGAGAAAATCCCGCTTGTATTTTGGAGCGTCTCATACGCGAAATTTATCATTTTTCTAATTTAATATTTGGCTTGGTATAATCTACTCGGACCATTCATAAATAAGACTTGTTTCTAATATAAATATAAAATTGAAGTTGTAATTTGTAATTTTTTAATATATATATATATATATATATATATATATTGGTATAGTCTATAGAGTGATGTCATTTCATATAATAGAATTTGTTACCACGATTTCCTAATTTAAAAAAATTGTATTTAACCTAAATTATTAAAAAAAAAACGATGGGAAACAAGTTGGGGGTTTACTGTTAAAGATTCTGAATGAGGTAAATTATATTTGGTGAGCTTTTAGACTTAGTCAGTCATTTCTTTCCTTTTATATCCACTCCTATTTGACCATTGCATCATAAATTAATGGCGTCCTTTCTCTAATCTCTACTCAATCATTTATTTCTTTTTTTTTATAATTCTATAAGATTGATTGGAAAAGAATTAAAAACTGTTAATTGGGTTTTAAAAAAAGATTATTCCAAAATTAGAACTTTTCAATTCTTTAGGCTTCGTAATTTGAATTTATTTTATTAATTAATTTAAATTAAGTTTCTTAAATAGAAAAATATATTACTACACATATTTTCAACAAATAATGGTTTGAGAGTCCAAGCCTTAATCTCAATAACAATACATATCTTAAAAAAGAATTCTTTAAATTTTATTAACTCAACTTATTATTTTTCTAAACTAATGGTGTTATTATTTAGCAATTTATTAGATATATATATATATACACACACACACAAAACTGATTGAGATGAAATCATTGCAAAGGGCGTGTCATCAACGATGAATGATGAAAGAGTGGATGCTGAAATGATTGCTTCATTACGGTACATAGAATTCGATTGGCTGATAAACTATTTTTCTTCCTCTAGAGATTAATGTATAATTATATTTGTTATAATAAAGAGCAAACTCCTGCTCTTTTTTTTTTTGGCATGTTGTGAATCGACTTCATCCTTGCACAAAGGTTCAATGTATCCGAAAATATTATTTTTCACGTGTTACAAATTCGCATTAAAAGACCTACATTATCACATTTTAAATTTTGTCTATTCTTCTCAATATATCAAACATATTTTTTCTCTCATTTCTTAAAAATTAGACCTAAAAATTAGGGTTTAACTAAAATGAAAGTGAAAATAATATCCAATAAATTCAAAAAAAAAAACAGAATATGAAATATAAACTTGGAATGATTAGAATTACGACACCCTATTTGGTTTGATTTAATAAAATAAAATTTTAGATTTTTTCTTATTTGAATCATTAAAAATATATTTTTTCCTCTAAATAAATAATGAGCCTATGAAATCAGAATCTAATGGATCTAAGATATCTATGTTTCAAACAAGTGAAACATTCGCCCCCATGTCCACGTACGTCTTTCTTTAATCCTCTGAAATTTTATATATGTCTCCCAAACATGTGGCATGTTTTAGCTCAGCCTAGGCTCGGAGCCCAAAATCTAGTAGGCAATGTCGATTTTATATGCGATTGTAGAGATTATACGAATACACAGTTGGTCCGCCGGTTTATAACATGTTGTTTTAAATTTGATGTATCGGATTCGGTTTTAAACTTTGACGTTTTAAAGGAGATATATATAGATATATGTGTATATATATATATATTAGAGAGAGAGAGAGAGGGGGATGCGTGTGATGTGTACAAGCATATAATTAAACACCTCAATTATTGTTTTTGCCTTGTTTTCTTTGAAGAAGACGAACGGCGACAGATTCATTGGAAAGCAACCCCGCATTTCTCTCTCTCTCTCTCTCTCTCTCTCTCTCTCTCTCTCTCTCTCTCTCTCTCTCTCTCTAGAGGAAGTCTCTACAAGTCTAAGTGATTAATCATGGAGTTATAAGAGTTATATACATTCACCATCTTACAAATTATTTCGAATCAAAACGGGAAATACATGGTTAAAGTCAAGTTTGATCAACGTATACATTCGCCCACGTGATTAATGCTAATGTTAGAATTTATCTTGTATTTGTGGTTGTGGTTATGGTTGTTGTATCAAGAATTTATTTATTTTATTATAAAAGAGTAAGAGGTGAAGATATAAAGATCAGGATAAAGATGGATTAATCTTGGAGAAAATAAAATAAAGTGTGTTAAGAAATAAGCGACTTATATATGTATCGAATATAAAATTTTCGCGTATTTTGTATATTTTTTCTTTAACTTTAAAATTCATTTGTATTTTATTTTTTTCAGTGTCCAACGTACAATAGATATATATGTATATTACTATAAATGGTCGCGGCTTTTTAGAAGAGCAGGTATACTACAAATGGGTGGGAACGTACAAGGGTCATCAATATTTCCATTTGTCAATGAACTGAGCTCTTCTATGTACACACACACACACATATATATATATATATAAGTATATGTATGTATATGTGTGTGTGTGTGTGTCGTGAAGTGTTCTAGGGTTTTTCGCTTTTGTCAAGTAGTGTACGGTATCTTTTGCCTTTAAACGTGGCTCGTCTTTTCGCCCCCACAATGTAAGAACCTTTCTTCTCTCCAGAGGACACCACCGTTTCCATCTCTCGTTAGAATTCAAAATACTCTCGTATTCGTATATGCACATGTTATACACATATTTCTACGTACACATGGCGTTTGACTTATGTGTATGTATAGATATGTATGTATGGTGAATTTATGGGGCGAAGGCGAAAAGTTCGCTCCTGGCTCATATGATACGTACGTCTAGATTTCAATACCGTATAAAAATCCGGCTCTTTTTAAAAAAAAAACCATTTTTGATTTTTCAGCCTTTGTGTTAATTGGGAATATCATTTGTCATTGTCAAAATGAATTCTCTGGTTTTAATTAATTTTTTTTTTATGAATACAGATTAAAAATAAAACAAGCTCTCTAATATCCAAAACAAAAGGAGACTGCAGAAATCTAATGACAGTACCATTGGAGCACGAGTAATATATTCCGGCGATATATTTATTATGCCATATATTTTCATATATATGAATATATATATATTGCCAGAAAAATCTGAATGATTTTAGATTAAAAAAAAATTGGATAACCCTGAAACTGAAATGTATTCCATTAGAAATAAACAAATGAACAAATTATATGATATTATAGGAGAACGTAATTTTTCAATAAAACAGACATAAAAACTGGTGAGGTGGGCTGCTATTAATTCGATTGATTTTATTGTAGAGCAACATAAATGCATTTGGAGTAAGCTTAAATGGTCTTTTCGACATATAGATATATATATATATATAACATTTATGTGCATGCATAAATTGGGGATTCCATAGATTAGAATCCAATATATATGTGCAGAAGAGAAAAAGGAAACAGTAGATAAACTTGTCGTTATTACAACCACATGAAATTATTGAGAAATGTATATACAATGTGTATAAGATTATATATCTCTAAAACAAATGACTTATCAACAATAAGTTGAAGCC